AATGATGAAAACTAAGACATTGATCGATATTGTAAGTATATAACTATTGCAGGGACGCAAGGACGGAAGGACCCATGGAGCCATTGAACTCTCCAACCGTTTTTGTTGGTTGTCGGAACTCTCTTTCTTTCGGCGCAGGTTCACCTGATGGCATAGCTGGGACGCTCTGTGCTATCAGGCCTATCAGAGCTTAAGCACCTCCTACACCTTGCCCACCTCTACACCTCTATCTCTGCTGACAGAGACCTTCCGCCCCCCAAGGACATGTCCGTGCTGGGCGGCCATCGTGGCAGCTACCGCATCGCCGCCGGGCCGCTGCCGCCGGATGCCAATCCCACCGATTGTCAGTACGACGCCCGGCCGGTCGAACGGGAGGCGTGTTGCGCGGCGGGGGGAGAGCGGACCCTCAGGGATCCAGAGGTTGAAGGACCCGAACTAGACTATCCCAGTTCGGTACCCCAGTAGGGTCCTAGTTCAGGTCACTCAACCTCTCTTGGCAGGGATCCGCGAGTCCGCGCACCTGAGAAGGCCATTGGAGACCATTTTGGGTGCCAGGAGTAGGTGAGTAGGTCCTCGATCCGTATACGGGTGGTGTTGTGCCATTGGTTTGGGCCACCGGAGAAGTAACTAGTTAGCAAGCTTCGGGGCATGATTTGGCACCGTCCAGCCAGCTTCATTTGGAAGGGTGTATGGGGATGGGTCCAAACTCCCAGGTTGGTCAAGCAAGGTATCCGGGTTTTGACCCGTACATACCCGTACCATCTCCTGGTTTCGAAATAGCGGTTTCTTATATCCTTTGGTCTGGCCGCCATCTACCAATTACGCTTAAAGGGGATATCAACGGTCAAGCATTGGAATTTATTGATCCCAAAGTTCAACTCCTCCCCGGGAACGGTCTTGGGGAGCAGTGTCAGAATCCTTTCGATTGACCGTGAAACATTTGGCAAAGAGAAATGCATACCTGACATACCCGAAATCAGGCTCTAAAAGTCGATTGTTTAGCTAGGTTTTGTACCCCAGTTGACCAAAGTTGCCAAATCCACGTGACACACATGCCGTTATTCGCAAGACACTAGACGAGAATGGGGGGCAACTCACCTTACCACTCAGATATCCTTCTTACGGAACTTCCAGATTTACCACAACGCCCTTGGGCTTGGCCGGAAGTTTCGCATTCCAAAAGTGCATCGTTCATCAGACATGTTCGCTATGCCATTTCGAGAAGAATCTTGACACCATCCCGGATCCGGACGCGGGTACCTGAACTAGATACCTACCCAAGAGTATAATTAGGAATTCACTCTTTTTCGTTGGAGCCGAGTGCCGATTCGCCCTGCAGAGACGGTATAGTACACTGTAGTGTTACATCTGATGGGAGAGGCGAAAAAAGGGCTATTCAACCTCTCGGATGTTCGCACCTCCCTGTCCCCCCCAAGCATCCTGACTTGCACGGCTTGACGTAGCTTGAGACCGGTGTGGTCAAAACCGGGGTCGTAGAGTACCCATAATAACTCCCAAATCACCGCCCAAGCATCATAATTGTAGACTCTTAGATGAATAAATCCACCCCATTTGGATTTGGACGCACAAAACATCTTCTGCCTGGGACGCGCTCCAGAAGGAATCTCTGAGCCGATCCGTGACAACCCTGCCGGTCCAAAGGACCGGGTACACGTGGTCGGTGACGTGCATGCGTAGACCCATGGGAGTCAAAGACTATAAAAAGTCCTTGGGTGACACGAAAAGATACGAAAAGGAATGTCCTTTACTTCAGTCGGTCAAAGTATAGTCTTTGGACTTCTAGGGTAGAGCTAGTCTACATGACGTTTCCAGCAGAGAGGGAGCATTCCCGTGAAACCGAACTGCTAACGGTTAGGCGAAGTACTCGTTCAGGTCTCTCAAACATGGGACAGCACACCAGTCCGTTGGGCCTGAGACCTCGAGCCCCACGTGGGTGACGCGAACCGAACGAGCCGAGACGCGCGATCCGCGAGCCGCGAGCCGCCAGTCGCTCCGAGGAGTGGTCCTTGCGGCTGAACGCGGAGAATGAAGCGGACATGTACCACTTTGTGACCATGCTCCGGCAGGCTTCGCGCATGGATATCTTCGAACAGCTGAAGAAGCTCAAGGACGCGCCGGACGGACGCGAAGATAGGCAGTTGGAAGATTGGATGCCTGAGCACCAGAATGGCTCCCCCACCCCCGCACCAACAAAGGGCCCTTGGGCCTAGCTGATCAAGAATGACCCAAGCTTTGAACTGGCAGACGGTGCCAAACATGATTTAAATATTAGTTACAGACATCCATGTTCCAATTTTAGGGCGTATGTGCTCCCTATCGCAAGAAATCACACAGCTTTGGAACCATCGGGCCATCTCCAAGACGGGTCTTTGGAAGGCCAGCCCGCGAGGCGAGTCCTTCAAACACCTCGAAGTGTTCACCTCTCCGGAAATGCGTTCGACCTGCATGTTCGCCGCGCCAGGAGTTCAAGCAGAAGAGCGTCTATGCCCATAACAACCGTCCCTACCTGGACTCTCAGATCTACTCCTCACAATCTGGACATTTGGAGGCCGAATCTGCGAGCGAAAACCGGATTACCCGGTGTATACGCTACACCTCTGGGTTGCTTTTGGCGTTTTGGTGCGTTGCTCCACTGCTTGGGAGTTGGAGATTGTTGGGGTCGGTTGAGATGGTGGTCGCTCTTGTTTCTGAGGCCAGGGCCCTCAGGTGCAGATGTTGAGAGTCACTTCCAACCATCAGTCAAGCGTTCTTTTGTTGTCATTAACACATATGAACACTAGAATGGAGCGTGTGGTGCTGACAACGTGAGAACAATTTGGTGTGGCAACATCACTCCAGCTGAATAATCCTGTAGGACTTGGGAGATCAAGGAGTTATTCAACATTCAACTTTTTCGATTATGTGCGTGGCGTTGTATTAATTTTTAGCGCCACGGGCAAACCACTTCCGAAATGATGTGTGTTTTTTCCCTTTAACGTAAGTGTAGACATGGCTAGCTGCACCCCACCCCACCACCTGGCAGCTTCCAGGGTGGTTCGACGATACCCTGGCCATTCGCTGACGCGCTAGGTCATCCTGGTGGAGGCCAAGCACCTTCGCCCGACCCGCGTGCAGCAAGAGTGGCCTGGACCGCACCGAGCACGCGGGCGGCGGAACACCGGAGAATTGCCGTTTCATTTGTGCCATGATGGACAGACGCTCCAAGACGGACACGCTTGTTGAATTTAGATGCGGTGTTTGCATTTGTTGGTGCCTTCTCAACTTGTTCAGACGTTGATTTTCCCCTCGACTCAGACCCTCAGACTCAGACGTCCCACGGAGCAAGAACAAGTGCACATGCTGCTGGTCTAGTTTTGTCGAATCACTGAAGGATCAAACTGGTCAGAAGGGGGTCCATGGACCGTGCTTGGACTGTGCGGACCTTGAAGGATGTTGACCACGGGTTTGTGACCACACATCTCTTAAGCCAGCAATGTAGTTAAGCTATGTTAAGTTCGGAATCTCTTTTTGACTCATGACCCATGGAATGCTGGCATGTTGGAACTGAAGAAATCGAGGTTGAATCAGGCAGGCTTCCTAGTTGGGCCCTAGACTTCCTTGACATTCTATTCACCTTCCAAGCAGCAGTCGAACGAGAACACAACTCCAGCAACCTTTGCAGACCTCCGGAGTTCCCATCCCAGGCAAGATCTGCAGACGGCCTTGTCCAAGAGTCTCCAGCTGGATTTACAGGTCGAGGCCCGAATCGAAGTCCACAGCAGTGGCGCAGTGGCCGTCCGTCTTCATCGTAGTGTGGTGCGACGGAGCTGGAGGTTCGGCTGGAGGTGTTCCATCGCAGGTGTCTTCCAAACATACCAGCACCTTCAAAGGGGTCACCTGACAGCCCACTACTAAGGGACCTCCAGCCAGGACACCCCTTCTTCAGGTCCAGGTAGTGATATCGGTACGATGACTCCTGGTGGCCATTACTTGGGGGCCGAGTCGCCGTGCGCAGGCGACGTGCGATCCCCATCCCTGGTTGCACACCCGGTGGAGGTGGAAATGAGACCGGAATCCGATGGCATTGACCAGACTGGACAAATGACCAACCTTCTAATGACCAACCCAAAGTGGTGAACTCAGATTCTATGTGGACCTCTACCTATAGGGTGAGTGTATACACACACTTTTTTTTGCAGAGAAGACTTGCCTCCAAGGATGACATCTTCATCGGCGTTATCCCATGGGTTGGTGAAGTTTTCACGTCCGAGATCTGTCAAAAGAATCATCGAAGAAACAACTTCCTTCAAAAGATTCAAAAACTCAATATTTTGTGGCCTCCTCTGGCCAAGACTTGTGATACTCGCAGCCTCCAGGCCACCTTCCGGTTGAAGAACATCGACGACGAGGGAAAGGCAGGTTGGGTTTGGATTTCTGTTGCATTTGAGGCGGATTGTCGCAATGCGAATGCGACATGATTCTTAATGTTTTCATGACTTGTTCAGCATGTCATGGCATGCTGCTCAGCATCCGCTTCATACCTAGCCCGGGCCCATACTGCCGCTACCCTCTATACTGCAGGCGTATGACATCGTATGACCATCCTGACTTGTGTTAGTCTGTGCGTTGTAAATCACTCCATTTGAGGGGCACTCCTACTACCCCCCACACAATGCACCTGCCATCACCACCCTTCCTCTACAGCGGTTTCAGAGTAGATGTTGTCTGAACCTTCTGCCATCTACTCTATCCACATATATACATCATACATCCCCCTAGCCATTGAGCCACCATAATAAAGGAAAAAAACACATCTTTCAGGGTGCCATTCAACCCGGGTCCATGTGAACTTTCTGGAGTGTATTACTCGCTCCCCTCACGAGTTCGCTGGGACGGAGCGGAGGCCAAGGAGTTGATCTACAAAGGCTCCAAGGTCCAGCGCTGCCCTTCGATGACGGGCTCCAACCCCTGTTGGGGCGAGACTGAACAGTTGAAGGGCTCGGGGGGGATGGGTCTTCAAGAGCCCACTCCTGGAGAAGGCGCGGCGAACGGCGCGAACTGGCGCGAACTGGCGCGTTTGAACTGTTTGGGGGGAAAGAAGGGGCATCAGTTGAAGTCAGGGATGAAACAGATGAAACGTAGGGAACTATGACAGGTGTCAAGGATGGATGGATTCTATACTCCGACTCCAGCGACTGGATGTTTGTCATCTTCATTTGTCTTTTTATGTGTTTTTTTTGGCTACATGCTTCATCATGCTTCTTGAGGCACTATCTTTTGGTGTCAGACATGCCGATGCCGTTCTCTTTTTCCCCCCTCATGGAGGCATTTCTTCCTGGCCGCGTGAAGCCACATACAAGCAATTTCGTTGCGTGCCCCGCTGCCCCGCTGAAGACTGACTAACATGGACACTGAGTCAACGCCGTTTTGCCGGGTCCTTTTGCCGGGTCCTAACATGACCAGACTAGACATCTCTGAACAAGATTCCGATGATTCTTTCCACCATGAAGCATGGCACCGCAGCTTCTCATCACCTCTTTTATGAAAAAAAAGCGATTCCTGATTTGCCCTATCTGGGCTGTATATCCTTTTTCCCGCATTGCGACGCAGCAACACCACGGAAGTCGGGGGCATCCGCGTCTCCTCACGGGCGAACTGCAGAACGAGTCTCTCACGGTACGAGGCCATGATGCCGAACTTGTACTTGGAGATCGAGTTGTCGAGCCGGAAGTATGAGAAGTTGGGCATGATCAGGTGCCGATCGCGGATCTTCGGTCAGATGTGAAACGGCCACCGGCCGTGGTGCCTTCTTCTTGTCGATCTTTTTATGGGAGCACAAAGTGACTGATGTTTGATAGGAAGGAAGAGTCTACCCAGCGGGATGTAGCCCCTCTTGACCTATATATATATATATATGTTTGCCTGCATTTTTAGGCGGTTCAGTTTTAAGCGCCCAACATGTGCACTGGGCCACTTACAATACAGCACACATGGGCACAGGGCGAGCTCGGAGTCGTTCGTCGTACTTGATCCACTGTGATGCCCTTCCACGTGTCACGGATTCTGTATGATTCTGATTGATTCTGTCTTCCGAAAGAGACACCTACACAGAAGACCTGGCCCTTACTGTATATATAAGTATATATGTCTTTACCTTGGGCAGTTGCCCACATTTAGCGCCTGTCCTTGATACTTTTGCTAGACGTTCTGGGCATGCCACATTAGCAAGACATTTGGATCACAGTTCTTCGCTGTCATCAGGATGGCCGTCTTTGGCGCAACCTTCCAAGATGAGTTTCTGGGCCTGAAACCGCCAGCTGCAATCGAGGGGTAGAAACTGGGCGTGGATGGAGCCCCATGCTGACATGTGGGACGCTTCCTACAGCCCATTCCGAGCACCATCCGTTTGAAGACGGGTTGCACCCTACCTGCCAACCCCATCCAACCCCCATTTGCTTCGAGTGATCCGTATAGTGATCAGTTAGTCATGGCTGGTGTCTTGGCAGGGGGGGAAACCCCTACCGTGTTTTGGTCGTACTGCGGTCATGCGGTGGTTGTGTTTTGGGGGCATGTGCATGTCACTGCATGCTGATGGGTGACCTGGGCTCTGTTAGGTTCTTTGGGCTTGGGAGTTGTGGACTGCTTGCTGTGGGGGGGTTTCCCTGCAGGGTTGGCATGTCGCTTGCAGGTAGGGCGACCTGGGTTCTGTCAGATCAGCTCTGCTTTTGCAAGTGGACTGCCTGCTGCGGTCCATTGCTTTTTGCTGCAAGTGGTCCCCATTGCCTGTGTTTGCAGGTAGGTTCTGTTCGGTTCACTGGTCTTGGCCAGTGGATTGCTTGCCGTTTGCACTTGTTTTCCCCCGCCCACCCACACCGACTGGGTGGGGGAGACATGGCCGCAAGTCCGTGCCGAAGTCCGGACTTCGTGACATGTTGTCAGCTCTAAGCTGATGGGGGCTCATTTGTCAGCCTATATTGAGCTGATGTCAGTTCCGTCGCGAGTCTTGAAAAAGACTGCGGAAATTGAGAGGGTGGACGTTGTACCTAAGTGCTTCTGGTTGTTCAGCCTGCTGGAGATCTCCCCTTTTGAATCCTTTCGATGTTTTGATCTCGTTTCCCTTCACCACGTTTGACGGTCTTCTCCACGAGGAGAGAGCACGGGGTCACAAGGGTATCCAATCAGCTTCTGCGACTGGGATTTCGACTGGGAAGCTGTCACAAGCTCGATCTAGTTTCGGGACCCTTGAAAGAATCATGCTTTGCGTTTGAATGACCCCCTGGACGAGTTTATTTTCCTCTACAGGGGATTGTCCACTTCCATGTTTGTTGGAGGGTGCATGCGGATCCATAGGGAAACACAACTGCCACAAGTGTCACCACCACCCCGTAGCGCTACGATCTGCTAAGCAACCGCACAGCTTCCTTCCATTGCCGCCACTGCCCTGCCAAGGTTCCTGGGTGGCGCGCCGACCTTGGACTTGAGTGACTCTAAGAAACTCTACAACAACCTCTGGAGCCCTGGGTGCAAGTCACGGCACGGCACCAGTCCGGAAAACCAGTAGGCCACCATGAAAGCCGAAAGCTGAAGGTGCTGCTGTTCTGCTGGTGATTCACTCAAAGCGGCTCATCAACTACCCAACTGGAACATGCCCGGACCTTCCCAGGCATGTCCCGATCCGATCCATACGTGCTTGAGTAGGGTTGGGCAGTTCATTAGGTGACGCCTATCTCGTGGGTATCTATCTCATGAGTATTGACATGGTAGCACTAACCCCTCCAAAAAGGTCATCACTAGGCAGTCAGAAGAACTCAGAAGAGAATCACAAAGGTCGCCTTACTAGGATCCAGGATCCAGGACCTTTGCGATTTCCCCGATTGTCCAAGAGGTTTTGACGATGTTGGGGAAATCTTGGGGCGCACCAGGTCACCAGCGAATGCTTCCATCAAGAGTTGAAGCTTCAAAACAAACTTTTCACACCACTTAGAAAATCATTGAACATCCAACAGCACTCCACATCCATTCACCCAACATCTTCATGTTCCTCCATGTTTTCCTCTTCCCTTCCTTGCCCCCGGCAGCTTCTACCGCCCAGCAGCGCAACCGGACGCCGAGGATCCCCTTGGCCACCGTGGACCCAGCCACGGCGAAGCTGACGCCCAAGGCCTATGGCGAGCTGCACTTGATGACCGTGTGGAAGCCTTCGCAGGTGCCCGGATGGGGCGCGGGGCGGGGGTGTTTGGGCGCCGATGGGGTTGGTTGGGATGAGAGAGAAAGATCGTCAAGTGTGGCGGTTTGAGCTGGGGCGGTTTGAGCAGATGCGGGAGCAGTGTGGGAAGGGTTCTGAGATGGGAGCTTCATCGATGGGGAGTGGGGAGAACCAGGGGGGGAGTGGATCGAACTAGGATTCTGAAAGAACTCTTGTCATGGACAGGTTTTAATGTGAAGCACCTTTGTTCTGCTGAGGAGACCGTGGCCTTGCGTCGCTTGCCCAAGACGGTTCGTGGTTGGCAGAGCTGGGAGTTGAAGCAAGCGCTGAAGGGCACCGCGATGCACGATCCCATCTACGATGTGCAGGCGAATGATGTGCACCCGCAAGACCGCCCAAGGGGGGCGCCTGTTTGAGGTGCTTCATGCACACCCCTGATCACCCAGCAGCACTCGTTAAGAGCCTCCTGGTACATGCATGATGCATGATACACGAGCCATGGCATTGGAACCGGGCTCTGCATGGGAAGTCATGAAGGGCAACATGGACAGGTGATGTGATGTGACATGGACAGAGCATGGACAGAGCATGACAGAGCTTGGTTAATGCTTGCCTTTTCTTCCGTCAGGTTTCTTGCGTCAGGTTTCTTGCCTCAAAACGATGGGCACCTCAGTCACCTCAGTCAACTGCACCACAAACAACGCCACGGTCACCTAGTGTCGGTGGCACCGGGACCGCGACGCGATGGTCGGTACACAGGCGGTGAAGCGCGGCTATGATCCCAACTTGTATGAACACCAGGGCGATCATCAAGAGGCCATGAATGAAGCCAAGCTCAGCTGCTGGGATGAATGAGTTGGCATGGCAGGCCCTGTACTGCAATGGAATTGTTTTATTTTTTTTCGTAACACTATTATGCCTGATTCGAAGTCCAGTTGCATATATGTTGGCACCAACGCCAACGACGAAGTAGAGGAAACTCCTTTTTGGGTCACCATTTTTGTACATTTGAGACTCCCAGGGCTTCAATCAGCACCTTTGTGCAGCTAAGGGCCTGCTTGTTAAGGTTGCCACTGTTTTGTGGGAACACGGGTTGGCAGGGGCTGTCACCGCTGCCATCACTCTGGTCGATGACATTCTTCACGCTCACCACGTACCTTTCATGGAGGATACCATTCTGTTGGTTGTTCTGTGACCAAACTCAAAGTTGTTCAGCGTGATTTGGCCTCAATAATGAGCAAATGAATGCAACTGCAACGAAGAACAATGCACAACAGGATGTGTTTATTTTTTCGGTCCAGAATCTATGTGGCCATGTTGATAGAATTTTGTTGGTGCCAGCCTCTCAGAATCTCAGCAGAATGTCCATTTATTGGGCACCCCCATCTGCCCCTCTTCATATCTTAATCCGCCCCATCATCCCCTGCTACCGAGGCCATATGCAGAAGATGTTGGAGAGCATCCCCTACCTGGACTGCTGTGAGCGGCAGCAACGTACCTCTTTCAAAGGGATGCGGAGATTGTGAACGATATGAGGGAGAATATCATATATTTATTAATCATAGTTTTGAGTGAGTCCGAAGATTCATAATGTTAATCATAGTGTTTTGTGTTAGTGAGTGAAGATTCACCCTATTTGTTTTGGACTTTTGTTTCTTCTCGTGCTTGTTGAAACAAGGTGTCGCTTGGCGCGACTTCCGCCTGAAGCTGGAATCGATGAAGCTTGGACCGTCCATCCGGTTCCGCGCCGGAGTCGGATGGAGTGGGACGTCGGAGGTACTTCGTCTGCCTTACGGACGCGACCCTGGACCTTCCTCTGGAGAGGTCTGGGGTCGAACCAATCCGGCTTTGAAGGGATAGGTCGGGCCGTGAACGAAGCGTCTGGGTAGGGTGAAGGATAGATGCAGAAAAAAAACGGCTTCAGTGTCTTATAGGTGTGAAACAGTTCGGGCGAAGCGAGAAAGCTTGGGGTGCTGGAGGCCATGCAATATCAGGCAATCATGAGTTGCTGTGATGTTTTTCTTGGGGATCAGATCCGGGTGAGCGGACGCTGTTTGCTGGCTTCATGGGAGTCCTCGCAGCACATGCTGCACACAGGTGGAGAAAAGCAGCAGTTTGCGTTGCAGACCCCCTTATGATGTTGCATCTTCTCATGGGGGTGTGGCTGGAGGTCTCAATATATTGTAGCACGCACTCTAAGCCATCCTGGAGTATCGTAGATAGAATATGAACTATAATCCAGAAACCGTTTCCTAATTGGTTTCATTATTGGATTTCCCCATCTTCCCCTACTCCAAGATGACTACCAGCAGTTCCTGGGTGCTACTGTATCCAGTTGACAGGAGACGCCCCCCCCCGGTGGCCTTGTGATTGACACACTCGCCATCCCACGGCCCCGAACGGACGGTGGGTTCGCCACGCCTGACATGGAACTCCTGAATGCCTTACCGTAGTGTTTCCTTTTGACCTAGACGCGACCCTTGTGGAGGGATCGGAGCCGAAGCCAAGCGGAATCGGGGTCCTGGGTCGAACCAAGCGGAGTCGGGCTGTGTGCATGAGGGTCCAGTCATACCCTTTGAGGATATGGCTGGAGCCCTAGGGTTTGGCTCCTACCAGCTGCTTCCGTTCGGGGTTACCTGGCTGGACAACCCTACACTGCTTATAGGTCACCAGACAAAACACCCAGACAGGAAGCGCTAGGTAGGTGAACATACGTAGTGTTTCACATAGGGTTTAGGGTTTAGGGTTTGGCACGCTCCTGGAGCCCTAGGGTTTGGCTCCTAGGGTTTGGATCTATTTCAACTCCTCCTTTCGCCCAGGAGCCCCGTCGATGCGGACGAGCAACCGCAGAGACCCTCCTTGAGCCTGCTGCGGAGCGGCTGGTCACATGGGGAGACGCCCAATACTCGGATGTTGTGGGAGCCTCTTGGATTTTAAGGTCGGGATGACCACCATGTTGGAATGGATGAGGATGGAGGATGGATGATTTGATAGTTTTTTAGATGATGGATGATGGATGGATGATTTTGATATGATATTGTACTATATTCTATACCTGGACCCTCCAAGGGGTGTCCAATGGACTACCCCACACTACCTATAGGCTTCCATTGGGCACCCTTGGAGGGTCCTGGCATATTCTATGTTCCCAAAACCACTGGATGGGGGGGCGGGGGGGGTGTCACCTTTTGGGATGGATCCTTTTTGGCTGCCCGGACGTGACCCTGGACACTCAAATCCCGTTTTGAGGGACGAAGGGCTGTTTGGAGAGTCTTCCGTGCCACCTCCGCCTCAGGTTGGATGAGCTGATGCGTCGTGGGGTGCCTGCGCATAATCGCGGGGAGATTTGGTTTGAGATCACTGGTGCTCAGGAGAGGGGGAGTGAACGAGGCCGAAAAGCAGCGTTTCTTAAAAAAGACTTTTATAAAGATACATGAGCCGGGCCCCTTGGGTTCCTAACTCGATTGGCAGAGGAAGTTCCACTGTTCTCCGGTGCTCTCGAAAGGAAGCATCTGAATGCCAGAGCAGCAGGGCATACACCTGCGTCGGATGCATATGGGCTGCTAAAGTTTCTCCAACAATTTACAAGAATGATGCCATTTGCAGGTTTGGATTAACAACCACTAGTACTGGACACCCAGAACCACCTATCATGAGATGATGAGTTACATAAAACAGACGTTTGATGGTCAAGACCGGCCAATCGCTGGTGTTGGAGCATCTTGGTGGAGTTGGATTGGACCGGGCCATCCGGGCTATCCGAACTTCATCGGCACCACACCGACGAAGGTTCGAACGTTTCCTGTGACGACTTTCAGCTGCCGAGAGTTGGAAGAAGAACGCATCTGAAAGGTGATCTGTGACTGTCATTCACCACAATTCCTGACAATTCCGACCAGGGTCCAGGACCATCCTGGAGCATCCGAATCGGATGTCCTTTGGCCCCCCAAAAAGCATTTCCGTGGAAGTACTTTCAGCATCTTTCACCTTGAAGACCATCCTCAGGAGGTATATACCTGGACCCGGGTGGGAGATGGCTTTGAACATGTTTGGGCCTTGAACTTCTCTCAAGTCTGACTCTATGGGGGGGTCGAAGGGCTTGGATTTTGCCCGGATTGTCTTGGAGTGTAGCGAACAAAGGATGGAACCATGAAACCCTAGGGATCCACTGCCACCTTCTCAGAAGGTACGACTGGGCCCTCCTGGCGCCTACATAAGTAGTCTCCAATCACCGTACCTGAGAAGGTACGACTGGATCCCTAGGGGAAGGAAACATCATTCCATGTGGACATCACCTTCCCAGAAGGCATAAACAGTGTCGAACACATCACCGTTTTGGAGAAGGTACGACTGGATCCCTAGGGCTTGCTATTCGGAAGGTCCCACCCGGATCCATCTACCCGACTCCATCCACGCACCGTGAACCGAACCGAACCGTGAAGCCGGTGACGCCGGTGACAGCGGTCAGTCGGACCTGCAACCGCGATGTTTCGGTTCCTTGTTTTGGGAGCCTAGAGCTCCCTAATAACCATCGGGGTGCCAATGGCGCCCTTAAAGGGATGACAGAGAATCCGAAGACCAAACCGGTGGTTATACCATGCTATACCCAAGGTATGTATTCAATTGATTTCAATTAATACCTACTTGGCACTCACACCTACCAGAACCGTTTCATGGCAGGAGCTCCAGCGGAAGTGGCTGGAACGCTGGGTCGCTGGGCTGCGTCAATGAAACCAACGAATCCCGCTACCGCCGCGGGGGGGGATGAGGGATGGGAATGGACCTGGCGCAAGCATGGGAGATGGGGCTGGTAGTCATGGTAGTCATGGTCACTATCAGTCCTTTCCACATCCTTTGTGTAATGTTCGTGGTTCAGGTTCAACCATTAAGACATGCATTTATTCGATCTGCGGTTGCGGCTATGCCTCCTATAAGCCAGTGTTTAATCATTCATCTCCATCCACAGATTTATTCTATCGGGATCCAAGTACCTTCTCAGAAGGTGCTTGGAGACACTATTATGTAGGTGCACAGAACCTGAGAAGTGTAACGACCAGGATTGCAACTGGATCCCTAGGGATTGCTTTCTCTTTGGGCGGGGTACCCTTCTTGCTCTTAAGCACGGCCGGCCCTGAAGGCCGAGAAGCTCTCGAGCGAGGCAGATCCCTCCGTGGCCTTCTACCGCAGGCCGGACGCGGGGGGGGGTTGGTTCGGCCTGAGAAGGGGGGGACATGAGTTGAAAGTGCAGGTAGTGCATGGAAGAGGTACCCTCCCGGCACCTATTATGTAAGAGTCCAGCCAACCCATCCACATGCACCCTGGAAGAGGTCCACATGGAACCTGGAAGAGGATAGTCTTCGAGTCTTCCAAAGGTCCATCTTTAGGTTCCATGTGGGACTCTCTTGGTGGGTGTAGTGCAGACTGTCAGAGGCTGTCAGGTACATGCCGTTAGGACCCAGGCTGTCGCCTGGTTGAACGCCAAAAGGCCATATGTGACCTTGAGCCCGAACCCCGGACCCCGGGGTTTCCAAGCAATGCCTGCGAATTCCACGTCTTCGGTCTGACAGGCTACAAGTCTAGTCTGACCCAGGTCCAAACCAGGTCGTTTGCTTTGGAATAGTGCTTTTGTATGACCAACTCCAGTAAAATGAGGTCATTGACCGGTTCGATATGTCTCCTCTCGGCTGGTTTGTCGTCCAAAAGAATGCCTTGTGAGTTCGAACTTCGGAAGAAGTGTATTGGATTTTCCCCATGTGACACAAGTGAATTCCTACCTGGACCTTCAAGGGGTGTCCAATGGAGGTCCCTTAGTGTTGTAGGGGCTTCCATTGATGACCCCTTTGAAGGTGCTGGTAATCATTGGCATTCTTTATTATACATGAATTCCGCTGGGCTTGATCACCCGGCCGTGGCTGGGGCGCGCCCACCACGCCTGCGTGGCACCAGCCCTCTTCGGTGCTCTCGTCAAGCGCTCGTCTTGGGCCGGTCTTCCTTTTCACGGACGGTCCGCCTTCGTCCGAGGCTGGTGGAAGATGGCAAGCCCTACCGGAATGATGCCATGTGGCAGTTGCACGAGGACTTGGTGGCCGCCGCCTCCTGGGAGAGGCGAGGGTCCGAAGCGAAACCCGTGCGTGAACAAAAACCGCTCGTGGAGGGGGAGGACCTGGGTTTTCAGGAGAAGTATGGAACAGGGGTCCGAACCAAACCATGAAAAAAGACAGGTTTTCGCATACAAAAACAAAACCATGTTTTCGCCTCGGGAAACAAGGTTTTTGATGGTTTCCCCTGGGAACAAGTGGATCACTCAAACCTTTTTGGTGACCTTCGGTGACACCCTGTGACACCATATTCAACATGCGGTACGGTGGTACGGTGGTATATACTGTATTCCGTACAATGGAGTGGCTTGTTCTAATAAGGCGGGTGCCGCAGGAGCGTCACGGGGATGTGTCTTCACCCCGGAGTCCGGGAGACTATAAAGGAATTATCAAAAAAGTTAGTGTTTTCATGTTCCTTGGTGTTTTGGGATGTGAAGTGGTCTGGGTCTATTTGTGGATGCTGTGTTTGCTGGTTTGTTGGATATAGAAGATTGGGTTTCTTTGCTGGGCGAAGTGCAGATATCATGGTGCCAGTCATGGTGCCATTCAAAGGCTCAAACGTTTTGTTTCCATCAAGTGGCTTGCTTGATTTCTCTTGGCACCATGAAGCGTCCGGCCTGCCAACGACGACCAGCTGCCTCAAAGCGGCCGGCCACCAGGAGCCAATGGGAAGGGAGGGAAAGAGACATTGTGGAGAGAAAGATTCACGTTTGCAACGATTGCAATGCCGCTTTATGGTTCAGGAACATTCCTGTTTAAATCTGAGGCAAATGTGCCTGTAGACACAAAGGACAAAATACATGCCTGCAGAATGACTTTTTCCAGGCTTGTGTGCACTCCATAGTTTTTCATTCACAAATTTTACTCAGCATCCCTGGTCTCCTGTTTTTTTCCTACTGTGTGCAATGCCGGCCCGCTCGAACTTGAACGACTTGCTTTTGCAGCAGTGCCTTTGTGGAAGACGTTCATGCTTCACCCAGTTTCAAGAGAGTGCTGAACATGTTCTGGCTGAGAGAGCCAGGTTTCATGAAATGAAAGAATCACTCAAGGATCCTTGGCTTCCTCTACAGCAAGCTATTGTTTGCTTCTGGCTCCTGTCTCATTATGTTGTGTAGCATCAGGTGTTCAACTTGCGAGCAAAAAATAGTAATCACAGGAACCGGATGAGCGTTAAGGTTTGTACCATGTCCTCACTATATTCTTCAAATGTTCCTATCGAACACATCTGTTTCAGTTTTCTTGTTGTCAGAAGTTGGCCAACACAAGAAGTTGGAGCTTAGGAAAATGCTATCAGATCGTGGTACAACATTCCTGTACCAGAGTTTCCAGAGGGGCCTGATGTGGCAGCAAATCAGCTGCTCGTTGAAAGCGATGAGGAAACGATTCCTCAAGAGGGAGATGTGCTTTTTTCCACTGATGAATCTGGTGGAGATGCAGAAGAGCCCGAGGGTCACATGCTGTTGCAGTCTTCTGAGGATGATGCCGAGCAAGCTCAGCCTGCACCCAAGCGTAGGAGGTATACTGACAGGAAAGCATCATCAACTCTGCAGTTCCTTGTCCGATCGGTGTGCAGCAGGGCACATCAAAAGCTGTACGCCATTGGATCCGCAGCTTTGCAGAACCTCCGTCAGGGCCTGCCTGCTTACACAATGCATGATCAACGGCTGCCAGAACCAAAGCATGAGTTGTTGAAGGTCTCTTTGCGCAGAAAGTCTGACAATGCAAAGTGGCCGCATGTGCTCAAGTTCTTTTGGTTGCTTTACATCAGTGCAGCGGAGGTATTACCAACAAAATTGGTGATGCCCAATTCGTGGCACATGGAAGCTATGGCGAAAGATTCTGATTTCCAAGAACGATATTGTTCTGCTTTTTTGCAGAACCTGGAGCGGAATTTTCAGTTGAGCCATCCAGGTCAAATCGGCCCAGGTACGTTCGCAGGACCGAGGAGATATTTAGAACATTCCAAGCCGATTGATTTGTATATACAATACTCTGCATTTTCAGATGCTGATGGCCAAGAGGCAGCATCATTTGCAACGTTCATGAGAATATTCAACCAGATATTTTCCACACACCTGAAGTTTAGGGACAAAGCAGAGTTTGGGCAGTGTGAAGTGTGCTACCGCATGAAAACAAAACTCAGAAAAGCAAGCACCCGATCAGAAAAGGATCATTGGACGAAAGCCTACAGTTCCCATTTGTTGAGCCAATGGCGGGACCGCCAGTTTTACTGGCGGATGCGGGAGCTTAGCAGGCAATATTTTGCGCAGTTGCTTTTGACTGGAGCAACAAAAATGAAATCTCTGGAGCTGTCATCCAGCGTCTTGTGTGCCATTCAGGATGGCATGGACCAGTCGAAACTGCGTGTACCCAAGTGGGGATATGTGAGACTTCCAAAGACCCTGGAGGCACTCTATCGCCCAGCGCTTCATTTGAGCGCCAGCTGGTTCCACGGAGCACACTTAGCCCTGAGCATTACCGATGAGAATGTCAAGAAGAATTCAGAGAGCCAAATAGAGCAGCTTGCGAGATCTCTATCCAATTTGCTTGCTTCAACCTCCCAGCTGCCGCTATATTTTCACTGTCAGAGTGATAACTGCTTTCGCGAAGCGAAGAACCAGTTCGTGGCAGCGTTTATGTTGATGCTAGTGGCATGTAAAGTTTTTAGATCAACAAGCCAAGGATTTTTGCGTACTTCTCATTCCCATGAAGACGTGGACCAAATTTTTGGGCAGATTGCTCGAATTCTTCAAGGAAAGGCCATCGCCACAGCCAATGACATGGTGGACTTCTTGAACAAAGCCACGAAGAGAAGTGGTACTTCATGCAGCTCAGATTCTACATTGCGTGGATCAAGCTGCGAGGCCTACAAACTTGACGAGGTGACAAGCTGGAAGACCTTTGTTGCTCAAACCGGTGTTGTGCTCAAGGGAATGCGGCGAGTGCATTTTCTTCGTTATTGCCAAAGAAGGGACATGGGGTCTGACATTTTGGATAACGTGGCAGAAATAGAGGAACTTCGAGGTGTCCCGCCAGCAGATCGCAATGGAGAAGACATATTCTTAGTCACAAAACAGTGGCTAGCCGACACTGAAATTGCAAGAGTGATCTGCGTCATGTCCGCTTCAACAGCCCAACAAATTCGTGTTGGGTGCAGTAGTCCGGCTGGCTTGGCTGAGCGAAGGAGGATTTCTGATGGTGTGAGATCAAATATCAACAGATACGCCACTCGGAGTTTGAACAAGGGCACTCTGTCCAAGGACTCCGGACAGTACCTATTGAAGTGGGTCAACGGCACATTGCCGTGCTTTCCAAAGCCAGAGTCATACCCTATCCTGAGTTACAGGTACATTCGAGAACTGCAAGCAGAAGCCAGACATCCAGGCACATGGATGACACCTGCCCGTCGCAGGAATTTTGATGTGACAATTGGTCCAGCAGATGGTAATTTGACGTCGGATTCTGATGAAGATGAGGTGGACTTGCCACTAGCCTTAAGGGACCTTTAGGCTTAGCCTACTGATTGCCACAAGGTTTGAGAAAAGATGCTACATGCATTTTCAGAGTGCTCGTCCGACAGATTCTCCAAAGCGTTGATGTGCACCACAGCTCAGAGGCTATTCACTGGTTCTGTCTCTGTCACTAGGGGAAGATGTTTCTCTAATTTTAAGAGGGGTTGCAAAAGACATTAGGACGCTGTGCGACTTTTAGGAAACATGCCAGTGTTTTGTCTTTCTATTCAAGTTGTTTTGTTTGCTCCACAGGAGTGCAGCTGCTGATGATGGCATCCCAAAGGTCGAGGATGGAGACATTTTCTTCAGTTCGGATGAGGAGCCCATTGCAGGCCTGCCAGTAGCTTCATGTATTTTCCTTCATGGTTTACACTAAGCTCAGTTGGGTCACAAGGATTGCCTTGCTGCCACATTTAAACCGAATTCTATTGTTGACCATAAATTCTCACGGATCACCACAAATACCAGCTCTATGTAGTTGTTTCTCCATGGCAAACACAGGTACAACTGGAGAATGTGGGGAAGAAGGAGAAGTACTTTTAGCTTCGGACGCCGAGGTTGAGGACTCATCAAGGGGTTCTAAGCTGCCTTCTTTGCCTTCCACATCGCCAAGCGTTTCTTGGTTAATTTTTTCTCTAACCTACAGCTTCTTCTGGAGCATGCGCATGTAAAGCTACTTCTCACTCACATGTACTGCTGTAGAGTTTTGAAGGCCACTTGAGCAGATGTATGTCTTCTGAGCATTTACCCTGTGTTGTGTCTGAGATTCGTGCTTTCATCTACAACTTCCTCAAGGAAGAACGCTTTGCAAATCTTCGGGGTCAGCTAGCTGCAACTTGTCGGGGCATTGACCGGCTGCGTATTGGTAGCATCTGTTCTGGGTGGGGTGTCTTGGAAATGGTCATGGAGACCTTCCGACCAGCTTGGAACCAAGAGTGCGTTCTAGAAGACAACTTGCTGCTAGAGGTGCGGTTTGTGATCCAAACACATGTCTGTGGACGACATAAAGCCTCAAAGAACCAAAACCAAACAATACGACACATACCAATTGTGAACGGTGTAGAAACAGCAAAAACTAGCAGCAACACTCAATGAACCATATTCTTGCTAGAACTCATACCTGCAGGTGGAGTTGAGCTTCGTTGTGGAGAAGGATCGGAGAAAGCAAGACTACCTGCGAAGTCGATTTCCACATGCTAAAGTGTTTTTCAAGGACATGAATGACATGGGACATGCGAAGGCTTCCACTTTTGATGGTAGCTTCCACAAAGTGCCCAAGGTGAGATTTCTCGCAATGCAATGTGTGTGTGTGTGTGACATCTTTAAAAAAGATCGTCTTGCAAGATTTGGTCTTTGGGTGAACATGGTTGAATTGTGTGTTGCTCCCTTTTCCTAGATCTCGGCACTATGCTGATCCCTTGCAGGTGGACCTTCTTTGCAGCGGCTTTCCATGCGTTTCGGTGAGCCCATTGACTACAACACCGGGATCGGTGTTGGACAAATCATGTCAGTCTGGTGCGGGGTTTGATTCAGTCTTCAACTATGCAGCCAAGCACAAACCCTCCTTACTCTTACTTGAGAATGTCTCCAGCTTGTTCCACAAAAGAGCAGTGGAAGGGGGGGGAGAAATCGGGGCAACTTTGATGTGCATAGTCATAGTCTTTTCTCTGTGTTCATGTTGTTTCAATCTGTTGGATGTTTCCCCTACCACGACATTGTGGGTTGACATGTTGAACTTAGGTATGAACATCTGAAGGAACGCTTGGATCGCCTTGGTTACATTGTGACTGCAAGCGAGTGTAACACTGCGGAGTTCGGGCTTCCCCAACAACGTGCTAGAGCATGGGTCCTCTGTGTTTTGAAGGATGAGTCACTGCCAAGTGTGTCTAGTGACATGTTGACTGACTTGGAGTTGTTCAAGTGTGAACGCTTGTCGCTTGAGAAGTGCATCTCGACTGTTGCAAAGCAGTCATCAGGAACTGAACAGAAACAGACTAGGGCTCATAGATCAACAGCGGTGCCCAAGTGGCACGATGCTTTCAAGGAGGAAAGCGAACGGATTGGCAAGGCCAGGAGGGTCTTGGGGATCTTTTATATATTACAGGGCGGTAGAAAATATGATTCTTTTCTCTCAGAGAGGTCTTAGTCTTAGGGATCTCTACTATGTATAGTATAATAACATTATATAATATATATAATATATACTGTAATATATATTTATATCTGGAAGCAGGATTTCGTATTCTAAGATCTTTTCAGTCAGTGTTCTTTGTTTTTCCCAATCTCCAAGAACAACCCAAACTCTGTTAACAACCCTTTGATCTCATTCTTGAGGCTTTGTGTTCGCTTTAATCTTGAACATCCTGCACTCCCCAACATACAATAAAACACACACACAAATACGGAAACAGCTGCAGGCAAAGGTGGATGCCAGGATTCGACAACTCCGACCAATGGCTCAAGGTTGCACTGAACGGGAGATTGCAATCTTGGCATGTGCTTGTGAAGAGATGATGGAGATGGGGGTGAACCCGGTGGAAGAACTCCTGGTGATTCAGGTCGTCCCTTAACTTCCTAGCTATTGTTGTTTCTATTAACACAGTGTTGAATCATATGCTCATCGGCTCTTGTTGTCTGGCAAAACGTTGCAAAACATGTCTTCAATAATATGTAGTACTTAGTACACTAATTGAAACACTGTACAATATCAACAGCCAAAGAAGCACAACACATGTACCTTTACCCTGTTTGTTTTGGGGCCTACTGAGGACCAGAACTTTGGGAGACAGAATTTTAGCAGGAAGAACATCAAGGGCTTGCCAACCACGACATGCTTGATTCCTGGTGGGAAATACATATGCACTGGGCCGGCTAATTTCCGACAACTCACCGACCAGGAGCAATGGGGGAACCCCTTGGTTTGTTGCTTTGTGTTGTGATTTTTCGGACAGGGTAGTTGTGGTACATTCCATCAGCCTTTGGGCTTTGTCTTTTTTCTTTCCCTCATGCATCTTCCAGGAGAGGCCAAGCTACAAGGAGTGGGAAGTGATGATTGGGAGCGCTACAAAATGAGTGAGGTTCCATCGAATTTAATGCGGAGCTTTGTTGGCAATGCGTAGGAAACTTAGCAGCGTAAGGGCATGTTAAACAGTGATGCTCTTAAACAGCTAGAGCATGAGGACAAGCAACAATTATTGTTGATTCATTTTGGACTGGAGTCAGGACGATGAGAAAACCGTTAAAGAAAGTATAGCTTTTGTTGGCCTCCCCACCTCCCAGGTTTTCGGTGCCAGTCCACTTCGCTGCTCTAGTGACTTTGCTAGCGCACTGGCGCCCACCGTGTCCCTGGCAGATGCGTTGAAGGTCTCACATACATTCATAATGGAAAATTCGGCATTGCATTTTGCAAGTGATTGCACGGAGAAACAACATCTCCAGGCCTCCAGGAAATAATGATGGAAGAATTCCGGGAATTTAGTTGGTTTGTTGTCATTGCCTTGAGTGTTTTGCCATACAGCCAGGAGGATCCAAATTTGCTTAGTTGGATTTCGCATTCCCAGCCTGTGCCAATAGCAGGCGGTGTCCAGGGTTTTGGATTGCCACCCGTTGGACTGGGAAAAAAAGAAAACAACCTGGTGTTTGCAAAGTGATCTCAAAAGACTTGAGTCAAGAGATTCGAAGGCAAACCACTTGGATTTCATTCAGTGTCCTTCCCGGATTTCGTTTGTTTTGCTGTCTTGCAACCTTTTGCTTCGCAGCGGAGCAAACCTTTGCCGTGTGACTTAGACTCGTTTGTGCCAGTCATGGTTGCCAAACGCAGACGCATCACTTCAAACAACAAAGAGGTCGTCATGGCTCCTACTACCATGACGGATGTGTCACCTGTTCGAGTGGCGCTGCGGGATTGGATCAATGACTTGCACTCCATGCGCCATTGTCTCCCTGAAGATCAGAAACGGGCCTGGCCTGTCGAATGTGGAGGGTCTTTCCTGGAGGTAGTTCAGCGCTGCTTCAGGCGACCTGACAGGCTCCTAGCAGATAGCTTGGCTTTTTGCAAGGCTTTGGGAATCATTGCCAGAGATGCGACCACGGAGGACTTTCAGAAGAAGTTTCTTGCGATGAAGGCCGGGCTTTGTTTTCCAGTGCCCCCAACACCTAATGTTTCCAAAAAGCTGTTGGAACTTGCCATGCATTTTTTGGATTGAGGTCTTATCCCCCGGCACCTGCCAGGACTACCCGCCTCAACCTGGAACCTTCACTACCACGGCCATTTTGAACTGGAGCTTTGAAGATACTTCTTTCTGGCGCCCTCCAGACCTTCCAACTGTCATGGACATCTCAAAGTCCATTGCACTGGTGGGGTGGAGAGAGGCCAGCCATCATGGGGAAGGGTTTTAAGTTTACAAGACATCGTGAGGGGAATGTCTCGCCGCTTTGTGGGTCTGTCTCAGGAAGGACAAGTGGAGAGCTGTTCTAGGAATAGCTCTCCGCCCCATTGATGTGGCTACTACTAAGAGGAGAGCTCAGTGGTACTGCCTGTCACAGACTGGGGTATGTCCTGGATAGCTGGTAAAGGAAAGTAAACTAAGGGGCGGAGAGCTATTCTAGGAACAGCTCGCCGCTCTCAGAGATCCAGTGAGGAATCAAAAGCGGAGAGGTATTTGCCAAACAGGCAAGTGAAAGGGAAATCTTGGCTTGGGAACAAGAGTAAACAAGATGTGGGTGGAGATCCTGGGAGTTCTAAAAGTAAAGGAAACAAGATGTGGGTGGAGAGCTCTTCTAGGAATACCTCGCCGGCCTGGGAATCCGGAATACCTCACCGACTCTAAAACAAGACATGGGTGGAGAGCTCTTCTAGGAATGCCTCGCCGCCCCTTGAACGGGAATACCTCGCCGCCCTTAGAATGACCGGAATACCTCGCCGCCCCTTGAACGGGAATACC